TACTGACAGTCCAATGGACTGGACTGGACTGGAACACGTGTTCCAGTGGACTGGACTAACCCAAGTGACAACCCTGATCAGGATCCATTTTTAGTTAATAAAAAAACCATGATTAAAAGAGGTATTTTACTAAAAAAATGATTAAAAAAGAAATCTTTACTAAAAAAGAATATCTGTATGATTAAAAATGAAATTTTACTCAAAAAAGATATTTTTACTAAAAAGAGAATTTATTACTAAAATACATATATAACGATAATCAATCAATAATCAATCAATACATAATGCATAATGTACAGTGCATAAACTATGTAGTCATGCATCTGTCTGAGTACAATAAAATCTTATTATTTTTTTTTGAAAGTCTGTACTAATTTGCATTACTATATTGTACTACTTTACTATATACTCTTACATATTGGTATTGATACATACATATAAATAAATTGTGTAGTGGTTACAAAATATGCAATGGCTAAGTTTATAAATTATAAAAATACAAATAAGATAGCTATGCAATGCAGTCACACTAGAAACCAGAAACAAAAGCAAATATAGTAGGTACCAAATAGTCATTAATATATTATAAAACATTTAACATACACTATAAGCAATTGACTCATATTAGCTAATCAAGTAAAGGTTTACAAGGCATCATATAATAAATTGTCAGGTTATAAGGCTATCTAAAAAATTACTTTGCTATTGCCTTTGATAATTATTAATTATTATTTAATCAATCTGATAAAAAATCTTATAAAAAAGAATAAAAAATACTAAATATCAGGTAAATAGGTAAATTAATCTGTGTTGAGTTATCAATTTTTAAGTCTAAATTTTTGCTTTTACTATTATTGATTAATACAACTATGATATCACTTACATTTGCATTTTTTGCATTCAAATTATTACATAGTGACAATTATAAATAATGAAGTAAAAAAAATATTTTTTTTGCAAATTTATATTATTTTTTTTGACAATATTTACTTAGAGTTTATACTCTTAGCTCTTGATATTAAACCATATTTATGAAATATATATTGAATAATAAACTCAGAAATTTCAAAGTTTTTATTTACTTTTAAACAAAATTGTATTTACATAACATTAGAGCATTAATAGAAAATAACTAAATTTATAATTCTTTTTTTTTTTTTTTTTTAAGAGTAAGGCCTGGTTTCAGTTTTTATTAAACAATTTAGTATTACATTAATTAAAATCTTTTATATAAATTATTACAGAAACCTATAGCTAGGACTAATTTATTCTCAATCCAAAATTCTACTAAAATAAGTTATCAGACCTTTTTTAGATTTAGTGTTGCAATGTAAAAAGTAGATATATTTGTAGTAAAAAAATAGTTGCCTATTTTTAATATTTATTTATAGTTATTTAATTTGTAACTAGATGTTTAGATGCTGTAACAGTAAGTATATTTGTTAGTAGACTGTTTTGATATACTGTTTTATATCTTTCTGTTCATATTTGCTTATATATATTGGTTAATATTTTGTAAAATAGATTGATAAGTAGACTTAAGATAATGTTGTAGTTTGTGAATATGTTGTTAGAAATCAGGTCTTGTATTTTAAGAAAAAATTATATAGCATTTTGTGTTTAAGTATACTATTGCAATAGAAAAAATAGATTGTTGCTTTCAAGTTTGTGTTTTATACAGAACTTGTGTGTGGTTTGTTGAATTAGCTAATTAAGAGATATAGAGTTAGTTATTATAAAGTTATAGAGTTTTATAGTATTAAATAATACAGAATCAATGTAATAAGTAATTATACTATTAATTATAATTGTTGTATTTGAGTTAAAATTGTTGTAGCATGTTTGAATATGTTATACAAGTTGTTGTAAAATTGTCTGTTTGTTTTCTGTATTATAGATATAATATAGTGTTTTGTAATAGTTTTTATTATATTAATAGTTATAAAGAGTTGGTTAGAATTAATATCAATTATAATAAGAAGTATAATAGACAAGTTGGTAAGAACTTTTATAATTTGTATTTTTTGATTAATAGTATTGATTGTTATAATATTAGATTATTATTATAAGAAGAATATTAAAAGTTAATAAAAGTATAAAGTATGTTGCCACAGATATTTAGTGCGTATATGTTTTTAAACCTATAAGTAAAAAGTTTTGGTATTTTTTGTAAGTAAAAGATAAAAAGTATATGTGTGTTTGTTATAGTGAGCACTATTAATTAAATTTGATGTTAGAGTTGATTTGTTATAAATATAAAAGTTACTATTTCAGTAAGAAAAGATAAAAGTTGATAACTTTTTTGTTAAAACTGTTTTTATAGTTTATTTATTTTTTATATCATTTGGCTGGTTTGATTTGTATTTGAAGATTGATATAAATAATATGGTAATTACTATTTGTAATTCCTGTTCAATTAATAATGTTAGAAGTTATAAATATATATAAAATTTGTTGTAAAACTCTGATTTTATTAATTTGACTAGAAAAATTATTGTGTATTCAAGTTGAAGTATTAAGATGATAAGTATATAACTAAGAAACAAAGTTATATAATAAGAGATATTTGTATAAAGTAGAGTACTGTTGTCTATAAAGATCTTAGTTAAAGTTTTTTATAATTAATAGTATAATATTAAACTTTTGTACTTGATTTATGTAATCTAAAAAATATTTGTTTTTGTATTTGTTTATTAATATCAGAATTATTTAGTAAATATATAAATATAATTTAAAAATTATTTTTGCATAATAAATAAAGATCAATAATGATGACAGTATCATTAAGGATTTGTATATTGTAAATATATGTTGTAACTGATTAATAATAAGTTATTAGGTGCTATACTAATAAATGTAATATTTAACATATTAATATTAATTAAATAGTGATTAGTTGATTACTATTTAATTAATATCAGATAACAAATATAAGAACATATTTGGCTTGAAATTTTTTTTTTTTTTTTTTTTTTTTTTTTTATTTGTATAATGTTCAAGTAGAAACTTTTTACATATAGAATCATAAGCTCTAAAATTAAAGAGTTCTAAACTACATTTGTGCTACAAATTGGCACCCAATGTGACATTACACCTCCTATTTCCTGTGAATGCTATAGCTA